CATTTGAGATGTAGTCCAGTTGCAGCCTGGATCCTTAATGGAGTGCTACTTGGAACCTGCGATGGAGGAGAGGCAACACGTCTCCTTCTGCTGACCACACAAGGTCCTGTGTACAAATTTATTTATTTATTTTAAAAATGTATACGGCTGCCCAACTCACGGTGACTCCGGGTGGCTTACAAATGCCTCATTGCGGCAATGCTCACACGGGTCCTCGTTCTCTTTCATGTAGAGAAGAAATTACATGGGCAAGCTCCAATGGATTAGATCAGTAGTTCTTCTTGGATCGGAAGACGTATTACATGGTCCACATGAGAAAGGTGAAGGTACAGGCTGCCTTCCTGCCGATTACTGCTGTGGCCCTCAGCTCCTGATTTTTGCTTCAGCACCAGCGCTGGCTCGGTTTCATTTGGGACTGAATGAAAATGGCTAAGAGTGATTGTAGTTTAAAGTGCTACGCAGCTGGAACTATTAGAGAAAACCTTCTCCACCATATAACGACCCTTTTTTTTTTTTTTTTTAAAATTGAGCTTTGTTAGGGACCTCTTAAATCAGAAACACCTGGGAAATTCTAGGATTACTGAAGCACTTCTAATGCACCTAGTTAAACAACAAGATCAAGAGCATGTTTGGATAATAATGCCATTCGCGTGAGTCTTGAGATCCAGAGTGTAAGATTTTCTGACTTATCTGAACCCCGTGTCTAATATTTTACTGCTGCAAGTGGATAAATCTCTTAGCTAGATATATTCTCTGGTTCATCCCAGTGGGTTGATGAGTCCCCTGCGGTTGACTTACTTCAGAGTGATTCTCAGCAAGGTCACGGTTCTGTCTTTTTGCTCACCTTCTCAAAGGCTTGATTCTGTTAGACTCTCAATGATCCTTTCATGCCAGTCACAACTTGGCTAAGGAAAAGAGACTGCTTAATTGCCTGGTGCTTAAAAAATGAAATAGAGAACATTCATTCACTTCACAATCATTCACTTCACAAATCCTAAGACACTGCTCTCTTACATGACAATGCCTTTTAATAATAATTTTCCATTACAAGCTTTAGAGTTTTAAAATTAGAACAGGTATATTTTCCCCCAGTGAGAAATATTCTCAGCAATATTAAAGAGTAAGAAAAAAGAATATATCCATGAAGTTCTGGTAGAAATAAAACTGGCTGTAGAAAATTTACTTTGGAAGATACATGTATTTTAGCTATAAGACACATCACTGTACCTATAATTGCCAAAGAGGGAAAAGTAGTTTGATTCTACTTAAACTCTCACAGAGTCCTGTGGCACAAACCATGTCTCAATCCCAAATCATGCTTACTCAGAAGTACATCCTGCTAACTTAGAACATACATCCACAGGACTGCATTCTTAATCAGAATTACAGATTGTTCCACATGATGTATCGTATCTGTGATACATATGAATATGAAAATGGTCATATTCAATGACACAAGCCACCTTATTTTTTATATTACTAACATTCCTGCATAGCCATGCCACAGTTATGAGTAGAGTCTGCTCAACCCTGGATTAAAAATGAGAAGAAAAAGAACCATTCTCCAGCTTCTCCACATGGAACACATCAATAATCTGTGCATGTGTAGGCATGTTCTGTCTCTCTGTGTGTGATATACAGTCATGCCATTATACGTAAAGACAGGTTAAAATGTAAACAGAAAGCTAAGAATAGGTCAACAGAATAATGCTTATGTTCCTGATGAAGGACCTACTCCTCTTAATGGCATAATGTCAATAGAGTTCACTAGGTTTCTGCAACACTGGATTCCAATTCAGTTTAATGTAGTACTGTATGTCTCTGCTTTGGAATATTAACAATAGCTTGCCCATTTTCCTGACCTGTCAATTCCAGGGTAGCATCTTCCTGTTTTGTGAATGCCAGACCTGAGCATCCCCACCCCTACTTTTGTGGGAACACTTGCATCCCACACCAAGGTAGCAGTTTTTTGTTTTGGCCTTTGGGTGCAGAGGGGCAATCTTTTCCCAAGCTTATTACAAGTTCTACGTAAACAAAAGCAAGGACACAATTCAGGTTTCAGAGGACCTAAGACAAAGAACCAGTCCCTGCAGTTGTTATTCACAGCAATATATGACTCAGACTGATAGTCCAGCTGGAGGTCCAAGCTTTTATAGCTTTAAAGGACTAAAGATGGGTTTGGGGCATCAGCTGATGGCTACCACAAGCAGTCCAAGGGATGCAGAGCCATTTCTAATTGTTTGCCTGTCTGTCACAGAATTCACTGGTAGGATTTCAGTCTTTTAAAAAAGATGGCACACAGATGATCCCAGGATGCCCAAATAGATTTAAGTATGGCAAGAAAAACTATCAACAGATCATAGTTTGACACAACCTGCAGCCTTGCATAGGTGCTCCCACAATTCTACACCAAGCCAATGTCAGAACCCTGTATCTTGAGGCACATGTTCTTATAAATAGCTTTTGTGGAACTTTGTAAAGAAACAGAGAAATTCTGCCTTCTTTTTGTCTAAAAGCAGTGGCATCTGTGGGAGGGGAGGCTCAAAATAGGGTGGATGGAGCATTGGAATGCAAGTCCCACCCCCTTTTATACATCTATTGACTATGCATATTCACAAGAGTCGGGTCTTGCTTTGTGATGGTCCATACTCCATCTTGCTTATTTTGACCTCAACCCCCTGCCACCCCATGGATGCCACTGCCTGAAAGGCATTTCAAATTCTTTATCAGGACAAAACCTAAGATGAAGATTTACCCTGTTATGATGGTACCGCAGAAAAGCTCTTTTAGAATGAATATTCTTATATAAACAAACATTCTTGCTAGGTTCATATACTTCACACATCTAAAATGTCTGGATTCACACATCATATTAAGCCATTACTTATTTTGTTGATTCTGACTTACAATGATCTTAAAACCTTATCATTATAACTTGGCTTATGGCTTTGAATTATGTGAAAACTCAGCCATTGTGGCTTATTCAATAAAACACAAATAAAGCCGTTAAGCATGGGATGCAAACCCAGTTAATGCATGGGTAAAATGGGCTCCATATGCATTGCAGAGCAAGAAACATACAGCCTGAAGTTTTCTGAATGACTGATATTAATTCAAATGGCAAGTTGAGTTGTGCCGCCACTCAAAAGAAAATTGAAAAAAAAATGCTTTAGGAAAAACATGATAGCATCTGTAACGGCTAAATCTATACAATTTAATGGGAAAGCCAAATCCTGAAGTCAAGCTCTAATCATATTTTCTGTTTTAAGACTGCAATCCAAATATTCACTAGTGTCCTCATTGACATTATACATTACTCACAAGCAGATTTTATAAAGTATACTTCCATTATAGTCAAAATCCTAAAGGATAAAAGTATCACATGTTCAGGAGATTATGGCAATTGGATTCTGGTTATCAGAACATTGTAAGGTTATTCCCAGGACAGAGAAATACCCAGATGAATTTGTACTTCTAATCACAGATTAGATTTAGGATTACATGACATAATCAAGGATTATCTTGAGCAGGTTTTCCTCTAAGAAAACCTGAAAAGCTATGGGGAAAGATGCTGGCAAATTAACTAGCCTTATCCACAATATCAGCTAGGATTCAGACTATATCCTGGAAGAAAGTAAAGAAGAAAAGCATTTAACCCTCAATCACAGATTGGATGCTGTTTTTATACCCTGTTCGAGTCCTCTAAATTCTACCAACCATTGCGATGCTTTCAAGATTGATTTTCAAAAATTCTAACTGGAATGTTCACTTTAATAATGAATGATGCTGTACATTCTGTAAAACAGTAAGTGAAATAATTAGTGCAACCCTGATTAGGGATGGGCATTGCATCACAATATCTGAAAGTCTTTGTTGCCCATCCATTGTTTTGTGTGTGGTGCCTTGAAGAAGTTTCTTGTTTCTCTATTATCTTTATGTAAAATAAATTCTGAAGGTGAGATAAACATAGCTGAAATATACCAGCGTCTCTAAAACACATAAAAAAACTTCTTGAAACCCATATGAGGTCCAGTTCAGTAGACAGAGCTTTGTCTTGTATTTTTTGTATTTTTGTATTTTTGCAAATATAGGACTGATCCGGTTATCAGATGTGAATATCTAGTACTTTGCAATACTCTGAGAACTGATCCGGAACAATATTAAAATACAACTACTTATCTTAAATGCTTCTTCTCCCAACTTGATACAGGAAATCAAATACACAAATACACAGTGGCTTCATATTTATTTTAGCTTTTTACAGGTGGCAAATCCCAGGATACTCTCTGAAGGCATATGAAGTGGTCATTTTGCTGAAACTAAGCAGGTCTGCATTTGATAAGTACATAGATGTGGACTCTCTTAAGTTCCATAGTGGTAAAAAGCAGGAATGTATATGTGGTAAATACAATCACAGCCTACCAGTTTATTGCACAATGACTCTAGAAAATCAGTTGAAAGAGTGCTTAATTCTAAAACTGATTTTATCAAGATCCATGAAAATCAACAAGAATGGCATACATACAAATCCTGGAAAATGAAATCTGGGTTAGATATTCTGCTTACCAATGAAGTGTGTGTGTGTGTGTGTGTGAACTTTCCTTTTGCTTCTGGCCTCATCAATGGCAAGATATCTTTTTGTCTTAAATTCAGTCATATTGTAAGTACCAGTGGTACTCATACTTGTTCTTCCTCTGTAGCTTTTCGGATCCCTTTTGACTTTTGACTTGGGAGGCTTATTTTTCAAGATGTTGATTATTGATGTGATGTTGCTTTTCGGTGGAACACTGAAGCAGGTTGCCATCTCCTTCAATGGACCGTACTTAGTTTGACCTCTCATCTATGATCTCTTGTCCCCACTACAAGGTCATGACCCACGAATATTCCTATTGCAACATATTTCCCTTAATCAGTAACCATTCTGGCAAAATAGATATATAATTTAGTCCTCCTGATTCATACTGCTTTTTGATAGCCACTATATGTTAATAGTCTCTTACCGCTATTTCTCCACTGCAGTTTTGGAAATGACAAATACCACTGATGCGGTTTGGAATCAAAACATCCTCCCAGCAAGACGGATCCTTTGAAAAAGAGAAAGGGGAAAAAAATCAAAATTCAAGGGAAAGAAAATAATTGATTTATTTTCTTTTACAACTTACTGAAAGAGGCAGAAAGGAAAGCAAGGAAAAACCAGGTGCTTTACACAAGTAATAAAAAAAGGAAAAGAAGAAACTGTATACAGTAGTAGGTACATATAGACTGGTTTATAACTGTCTGATCAGCAGAAAGTCTATTCAAGCATCAGTCCATTCAAGGTTCTCTACTGTTTTACAATTATTATTATTTTTTCATTGTAATGTTCTATAACAGTTCTATAACATATATTTTTTGTAAATTTTTGGACACTTCTCCCAAATACGCATTCTTGTATGCAATTTTTGAGCTCAGATGTATTGTAAGACTAATGCTACAGGATTTCATGAATTATATCCTCATTTATAATACAATGGATTTCATACTTGTATTTCACACCTTTTTGCCTGAAAAAATCTGTGATGAATTTCTTCAACAACATTACCTTAGATAGTTGCAAATATAATGAATGTAGAACATACAGTAAAGTGTACATTAAATGTATTACACACATAAACAAAGCAACAGAAATGTAAAATGAAAACTTGTTCTTGTCAAAATAGCTCTTACGGTTATATTGTATATCAAATTAATTGGTGCAGCAAGTGCCATTATTATATACTTAGTAATAAAAGATAATAACTGGCTTTTGATTCATTTCCAGTCCTAGATTTGACCTTAGGCTCTAAATACCTGGGGCACAAATGTCCAAAGGACAGTTTTCTTCCATGAAAACCCCTACCTTTTTATTAAGATCTTCAGAAACCTTGCTCATATGCCCTGTCTTTGCAAGTAAGGCAGATGAAACTCAGGAGCAGAGCCTCTATTGAGATTCCCAGATTATAGAATGCCTTCCAGCTTAATTGTAGCCATTTATTTAATATTTTACAGGACAAACATAAAACACTGGTTTGCTCTGACTTTGAGAGAAAGGCCAATGCAAAACATTGGGTTATCTTATTTCTGTTCTTACTGTTCTAATTGCTGCTTTTCTGAATTTTTATACTGAACAAGTTTCATGCCTGTATGCTATTTCAAGGATTTGTTTCAATGGGAAACTGAATTATTCCCTATACAACCTGTAAAACCTGCCACTTGATTGTTTGAAAACTGAATTTTAAACATATCCAGGCCTTAAGATCCTCAAAAGGGTTTTTTTTTCTCCCTTGTCCCACCAATATACAAAGCAAAGTTGGTGGGAACTTGAAAGAATGGTCTTCTATGCAGCTGCCCAATGCTTGAGAAACACTTAACATTTATTTTTATTCAGACAAGCATTTGGTCAAGAAGAATGGTAAATTTGTTCCTATTGACTCCAAATTAATATTTTACCCACTTTATTTTTATTGTGATTTACAGTACTGTGCTTTTCTCTAACTGTGAGCACAGTCTATTGATCTATAATTAGCCATCAACTAAACTCCTGAAACCTACAGCAAAGTAAATTATAAACACTAGTTTACAATAATCAAAAGGGGGGGAAAACCCTGCAAGATTATAAACTACTACTGCTGTAATATCATTAACCTTGCTGTTGGGGTATATTAGAGTTCATAATGAAAATGTTATCTTAAAAAAATAAAACCAAGAGAACAAAAGCAAACCAGTACAACCAACTTTGCAAATTGAATTGAATATAACCCAAATCCAATACCTCTCTATGCACTGCAATTGATATTGTTGATATTGTTGGGTGCATCTGCAGAGGATTTGAACAGACACCATATTTCTGTGAAATGCTGATCAATGTAACTATTTTATATAAGACCATCAATGCACATTTAATTGACAGAGATTTATTATTAATTATTATACTTTTTTCTGCAATGTATTTGGTACAAATGTGGATTTTGAATCCATCCATCAAAATCTATTTACGGTCCAAGACCAAACACAATAAAAAACCAGCATACAATACAATGACTATAAAAAGAAATTTTAAAATTGCAAGAAAATCCTAAAGCAACTAGCAACTAACAATTAATAGCACGAGGGAGGAACCAGACAGTTTCTAATAGTTATAGCTATTGATAAGAATTCTGCAACCTTCTTAGAGTTTTTCGAAGAGTGGTCACTCAGGAGAAGCTTCCTGGTCATAATGGCAATTAGAGTTATTAACAACTGGAAATATGTGGCAAAGTTCCTTGTAGCCAGAGAGGTGGGGAGCTGACTCATGAGCAACAGCCAACAAACACTGGACTCCAAAGATGTAGAAAACCTGCTGCAGTTTATTCTTCCCAGACCCTTAAGCATTCAGGGTCAGGGGTTGAAAACAAGCACAGTCTCTTTGGAGTGTCAGCGGTCCAAACCAAGCATACAAAACAAAAATTCTCAAACATAAAATATTCAAATCTAGGGAGAAAAATGGGACAGGCAGAAATAGTCTGAGGTTTGATATCCTCCTTCGCACCAGCTGACTCAATGGGCATCCCAGCCTCAGCAAACAGGCAAATCCCTACTTGTGAAGACCCCGGCCCCTTCCTTTCCTCATGTAAGGAATTCCAATAGAGGAACCAGCTCTATTTAGGGCCTGGCAAATGAGCCGGGTCCCAACCAGGCAGCATGGATGGGTGGCGGAGTCTGTTCATACAGGTCTTGATAAGGGTAATTTCCAGCACTTTCTCTGCAGGCTTCTCTTTGTTCCAGATCTGTAGTATCTGCCATCTTCTTCCATCTTCTTCTCCAACCTGCACACTTGCCGTTTTGGCGGAGCAACCTTTAAGCTTAGTCAGCCCTGAGCCTGCAGGCATTTATAGTCAACAGCTGTGGCTTACTTGTGTTTTCCCTTCACCACAACTTGATTGCCATTGGGTGAACAATAGCATATGTGAGACAGATTCTACCCTTGAGCCTGAACAGAAACAAGTTTGGATTTCATATGAGACACTTATATATCTGCTGGTTGTTGCCCTTAATAGGTAGTGCCCCAATTCGAGCCAAAGTAAATATTCTCCTATGTGGAGCCTATAAGATATTATCTAGGAACTGTAATGGTATGCGGGAATGACTTTGGGAGACAGGAGGAAGAGCTTCAGCCTAGACAACGGTCTGATAATTGAAATCTGAGCCCGAAAGAGGGAAGGTGGTGAAAGTGTCTCAGAAGGGACATTTCCAATTTTTCGGGAGAGTAAAGGTAAGGGAGGGGAGAGATACTTTCAGGCTTGCAAGATTCTGTTACTGTAGCCTTACAATAAAGGTAGTGTTACTGCCCATGATTGCTGCCTCTTGTCTGGTCTACCTTGAAAGGCTGGCAGGGACAGACCAAGGAGGAACAATAATTTTAATATTTAGTATTTACGTAGTATCAGTGTGCATGTCCCTTTACAGAGAACATGGGAATAGGTCCATGAACATTACAATCCATAAATCAATTACACACTTTAAGAATCTGTGGAGTAGGGACAAGAAAGATACCATGAGAATGTTAATGTAAGTGGTACCAGAAGAAGTCTAAGCATGAACACTTCTGACCTTCTTTCTAAAAAGATGCACAGAGAAACTTGAGAACAAAGCATCACCTCTCCTGGAAGGACCATCTGCCAATTCATATCACAACAATGGAATGCCAGTGTTTCAGCACTCCTTTAATATAATGCAGATACTGCCAGGCTAATTCCAGCTGGTGCTGATCTTGCCTGATAAAGAAGAATGGTGCTACCTGTTTCAGAATCCTTTCCTGCAACTTGTAGGATTCTCCTATCCAAGTGTCCTTTTGCACTCAAGAAAGGCTAACACCACAGATTGAAAATTACTTTAAAACATCAATTGAACCAAACAAACTTCAATCACAGTTTGAACAACTGAAGAAGTTGTACTTGGGAAATTCAGCAAACTGCCAAATTAATCAAGTGGAATAACTCAATTACATTTTTGACCTGTGAGATCATGGAAAAGGTCAGAAGCAGAGATCAGAATGAGAAAGTCAGCAATCTGGCAGATAATTTGAACCACGTAGATGGCTTGAAAAAGTTATAAATGCTTATATTCTTCCTCAGATATTCTTCCCTGGTGAACAAAACACTGCTGAAAATCAGCAAAATATATCTTTGAGCCTACCAATATCTATGCCGGAGACAGAAAATGTCAAAAGAGATTGCAAATTAGCCAGCTGAGGAACAAACATTCATGCAAAACATATTTTAAAAAGTGAATAACTGAGTGAATTAATTTAAAGCCAAGCAACAGAATAAAAACTGCCTGGATTTTCCCCAGCATTGTTTTTTCTACATATTGTTTGGTGATGTTTATGAATCTGTATCTATTCAGTATTCCAGATATCCTTCAGTGCTTCAGCAGCAAAAGCTGAGCTAAAACATTCATTCCACAACTTCTAAGGGACGTGCCCCTATCATATTTTCCCATCCTGGAGATCTGAAGTGGTTACATTGCTGTTAATAATGGGAATAATGGAAAAGAGAAAACCCTTCCTTCTTTCCTTCCTTCCTTCCTTCCCTCCCTCCCTCCCTCTTTTAGTCTTGAGGACAATATTTGCTACTTAAGAGAAAGAGGGATAAGGGTAATTT